ACATTCCTAGGCTTGAGGCGGTATGGGTACAGATAAAATGTAAAAACCGTTCTTACCTAATCGGTTCCGTCTATCGAGCAGATAAGAGTGCGGCGTACTGGGATCTGATTGAGGAATCTATCGGTAATGCAGTCGATCTGAACATGTACACTGTCGTTGTCGGTGACTTTAATATTGACGTCATTCGGGAAAATCGAACAAAAATAGATTACCTTCAATTAATGTATGATCTTAAACAGATAATATCAGAACCAACTAGAATTACACCACATTCAAGTACCTTGATAGATTTGATTTTTGTTTCTAATGTTAAAGCAGTAAACGAATCTGGAGTTCTTGACCCTATCTGCAGTGACCACTGTCCGATATATGTGACCATCAAAGAACCAATTTCTCTCCCTACAAACTATAAGAGCAAGGTTTATAACTATCCCTTAGCTGATACAGAAAGTATGAACAGGTGTTGACGTTGAAGGTTTATTTTCTTCTAAAAATATAGAGAAAATTGTAACCAATTTAACATCCGCAATTACGAGGATCTGTGATGAACACATACCAAATAAGACTGTCACCATCAGACCTGCAGATCCTTGATTCGGAAACGTAATCGTTTACATAAAATTGCCAAAAAATGTAACCATCCAACTAAGTGGGCTAATTTCAGATCAGCAAGAAATAAAGTTACAGTACTTCCGCTATCAGAACTGCTAAACAAATATTTGTCTCTAAAATTGAAGATACTGTTAATAACTCGCCTTGTACCAAAACGTGGTGGCGCCTGATTAAAGCGTTTATAAAATCACGCAACGATAACAGCCAATTCCCAACAATTATTTTCAATGATACAGTCTACAATGGCCCCGAAGAAATCGCCAATGTCTTAAATAACTACTTTACTGCTCAGTCGAAAATTGAAGATCAAAATCGAGATGTGCCCGACCCCCTGGTTCCCCGTAACTCAACATTATCTAACATCACTCTAACCCGCGATGACGTCAGAGATATTCTATTGTCATTGGATACATCAAAAGCGACCGATCCGGACGGAATAGGAAATAAAGTACTTAGATATACCGCAAATAGTCTAACATCCATACTTACGAAATTGTTTAATTTATCACTTAGCCAGTCAATTTTTCCCTGTTTATGGAAAGAAGCATCAGTAATACCTATCCACAAAAAAGACAGCGTACATGAATGTTCAAACTACTGTCCTGTCACACTCACATCTTGTTTATCGAAAGTCTTTGAGAAATGTGTATTTAAATATGTATTCAACTTCCTAAGAGATAACGACCTACTAACAAATCTACAATCAGGATTTATGCCAGGAGATTCCACATCAAATCAATTAACCTATTTGTATAATTTCATAGCTAAAGCTCTTGACGAAGGAAAAGAAGTTAGAGCAGTCTTCTGCGATATAAGTAAAGCCTTTGATAAGGTATGGCATAGAGGAATTATTAATAAACTGAAAACTCATGGTCTCCAAGGCGAACTATTAAAATGGTTTGAAAGTTATTTAGAAAATAGAGTACAACGGGTAGCAATTAACGGGTACAAATCTGACAAGAAAGCTGTGCTAGCTGGAGTACCTCAGGGCTCAGTCCTTGGACCACTCCTTTTTCTAATAAACATTAACGATATTGTATGTGATATTGACAGTAACATTCGTCTCTTTGCAGATGACACTCCATTATATGTTATCATAGAAGATCCATCAGTTGCTGCTACCTGTCTTAACAATGATCTAGATACAATTTCACAATGGGCCCGTAAATGGCAGGTTACATTTAACCCAAATAAGACCGAAACCATCCAATTCTCACGTAAAGCTAAACAGTCTCTAAAGCCGAACCTACTTATGGACGGAACAATCATAAAAGAAGTCAAAAGTCATAAACATTTTGGAGTGACACTCCAAAGCGACTGTACATGGACTGATCACATTAATGATATTGTACAAAAAGTTTGCCCTATGATCAGTTGTCTGAGGAGTTTGAAATACCGATTATCACGTAAAACCTTGGATACTATGTATAAGTCCTATATCTTGCCAACATTTGACTATTGTTCCCATATTTGGGATAACTGTACGTCTGAGCGTATATTAGAAAGCTTACATCTTGATGCCCTGAGAACTATATGTGGTGCCATTCGTTGCACAAGTCATAAGAAACTTTATAATGAAACTAAATCTCAATCCTTGCAAGATAGAAGATACTGCCAAAAATTAACATTTTTCTTTAAAATGTATAACAACCAATTCCCAAACTATCTTTGTGATTTGATCCCAAACTTTGTCTCCGAAACTACAAACTATAATTTAAGAAACAGTTCTGAAATACAAGGAATTTATAGCCGTACTTCTTCTTACGCCAAATCCATTTTACCAGACACAATACACCTATGGAATGCTCGACCAAAGTCCAAAGAGTCAAGTAGTCTGTCAGAATTTAAAAACCTAATTACGAAAACCGAAAATAAGACTTATTTTGACCTTAGCTATGGCACTCGATTCTGTCAAATCGTTCACTGCCGCCTCAGATTCGGTTGTAGCGACCTAAACGCCGATAAGTATTATAACAGACATTTAATTGACAGTCCGTGTTGCTCATGTGGATATCAGAGTTTACTTGCTGTAACTTTACTCAGATAAGACTTAATATGCACTTTTACACTACCGGTTATAACTTGGATACTATTATGAACGGAAACAATGAACTTGCTCACTCTGAAAACCAGAAATTAGTTGAATCCGTCCACGATTTCATCATCAAGACAAAACGTTTCAGCTCTTCACAAATTAATAATTAAATTAACCGGACAATAACCTCATGATTGACTATTACTTTTGTTACAAACGACTTGTTAGACACACACAAGCTGTAATTTTCTATTTATGTTCACTTTGTATTTGTATTTGATGTAATATGTACAAACATATTATTTAAATAATGTCTATATCGATGACGTCACATCCTTCATTTCAATATGTAATATATGTTGTATAGGAGCGGTGTTAACATAAGCTGTAAAGCTTGTTCACCAATCCCAACTCATTTCAATGAATAAAAATATGTTATCCCCCTTAGATACAAAGAGATGGATTGATAAGGATGGTGTAACTACCTATGCTTATGGTTTATTTAGGGCGTTAATACTGTAATACATCTTTAAGATAATATAGAAAATTTCATAACCAATCAACTCATGTTATATATCTTAAGAGACCAAATCAGATTGGTTGTACGACGTTGGCCTCCTTCGAGTTCACCGTGCTGGTATAAATATCTCACACTCACTCTATCCGAAAGTTTTTGTTCTTTGCCACGGTGCTGAAGATTTGGAAGTCATGTCATTTATATGTTTTGCATCTTACCTTATCATGAGGAAGAAACAAGAGGTCAGCCTGATGAACTTCATTCGTTGTAAAAATATCAAACTTTTATATATATAATTGGGGCAGGTAAGTATATTTGCCATATTGCCTGTTTCTTTAACCAATCCTTGGACACTTCTTTAGATGCCTAAGCCACAGTGGCTAATTTTTGTATTGCTCCTATACCTTTCAAATATCCTTACGGGCTATAGTAAATTTTATCCATTATTAATTAATATTGATGTTTCTTTTAATACAACGCATGACAATCGTTGAATCGCATCACAGGTTTTGCATAAAAAATTACCTCTGTAGTAGTTGTATAGGGGTATAAATCTGGCTCCAGTGGAAGTGGTCCAGAATCACCATTACCTATAAAAATTTATATCATTTACAACATAGAAGCATTGATAGGGTTCAGGAATGGCTCGGGTCGTGGTGAGCCAGAACCCTTTTCATTACAATTTTGCTTAGTCTCAAGATGATTATTTGACCGCAACGTGTTTTTTGCATGAACAATTACCTCTGTAGTAGTAGTAGTAGTAGTAGTAGTAGTAGTAGTAGTATAAATCTGGCTCCAGTGGCAGTGGTGCAGAATCACCATTCCCTATACTACTGACTTGTTAACCTCTCATAGTTGGGTTATACAGCAATACACATGGCTGTTGTGTTTTTTCTTCTCCTGGCAGTTTGTATTACAGTCGAACCCTTTTATCTCCATCGTAGCGGTAACCATGTTATAGCTTCAAAATATCCTGACATTCAAGATACTGAAGCTTGGAGGACATCCAGACAGATCAAGTATTAACAGCATTATAGACCAATAGCAGTAGGATTGCTAACACAAGAAATTAAGAACACAACACGTGTGTGCGATTACAAATCACATGTTTTAATGCGAGACAACGGCTGTCCGATTTTCGATCACAAACGTTGATATGGGTTAATTTCGTTTATCCAACATACTCATTTATTCGACATAATTTTATGCAACCAACAATGTCGGATTAACGGGAATTGACTATTCGTGTTTGTTTTTGTTATGTGTGATCTGGTTTTACTGAACTTAATATTGTAAAACAGCAAACGGATTATAATTTTGATTATTAATCAGTTGGGATGATCCAGTTATCAATCCTGATTTTACACTCAGTCCCCAGCAGTAGCCAGTAAATTACGTGTATCACAGTATTTTGTTTTGCTCATTGGTAATTTGCAATAACATGGAGATGTATCTTGTTTTGGTTTATTGAAAGATGCAGATAATTCATGAGATCAATGAGATAGTGCTATAAACATGATCTACAGTTTGTGTAAGCTTTTCCAGTGATATATACTTAAACTGTTATGGAGGTATGGGGGTAAAACATCATGCAGCTTCATATTTACTATTATTTTCAGGTCATATGTTCATTTTGGTTGCTCATACAAAATAGGATAACATAATAGTATTATCATAAGAATGCATAAGAAAATGGAATTACTCTGTATCAAAACTCAGAATCACTGATAGAACTGTTGAAAGGTTCACAAACTGAATACCATCTCAGATTTCTCCAGCATGACTTTCATAAAATGGCTATATGTATAAGTTTTATACATTTGTTCTCTTTTGCAGGTGTTGATCCACATTCTCCCAAGAAGCGTGAATCTGTAATTTTTACAGCTGCCACCATGAGAGTTCTCAATGTCCTGAAACACTGGGTTTCGAAACATCAACAGGTAAATGTAGTATATCTTCTTGTAATAATCCCCCTTTATGCCCAAACAATACCATCAAACATCTCATCAATATTGTACAGTTATAATTAGGAATCCCCCTGTAAATGTAAATGCTAAATGGTTTTGCTTGCGTTTAAGGACTGCCACTGTGGTCAACCATACAGATGTTACCTTCATCATACCTGATGTACTTTATTAGCTCTGTACTAAAAATCTGATAAGTTTTGTGAGCAGGAATTAGATAACTGAGATAACTACAGTGACACATACCCAATAGTTTCATGACACAGTTCTTTTTTTGCAGACCAACAGAAATAAAACATGTGGTGGCATATTTCTTTTATTCACTTCCACACATTGTCAACCAGCCAGTGCATGATTAAATAAACAATTCCTCATATCCTGTGTCCTTAATTACACATTGTCACTCCGTGTCAATAGTCTAATCAGGAAAGTTCACAAATCTGCAACATCTCACTTAGAGAATTTGAAAAAGTCAAGTTCTTCTTGCTTGAGCATAGTATTCACTCAGGCAAAGTATATGTTGACTTAAAGTTTCAGTCAATATTCATATTGCCTTAAAGTTAGACGACTTGATTTATTAGTCTCATTTTAATTTGATCTATTTTAATTGTTGGTTATATCAGATTTCACTTGTTTGGTTTGCTGCAATAAGATCGTATCCAGATGCCATTCTCTCTCTTAGTGAGATGATCCTGATATACCATTATCCATTTGTATGAGCTCAGGCATTGACTGCATGTTGACAAGCTTGATCTGACCTCAAGATACAAATTCATTCGACAGGATGAGTTTAAGAACCACGCCCTTTGTTGTGATTTGTTTACGCTTCTTTTGACATTCAATGCAAATTGATTTGTATAGTTCGACTACCTCACAAGTGATATTACCATATTTTATCAATGCTTTCAACATTTTGTCATGACCACCAGATGGCCTCTCTTAAATATGTCAAACATGTCATCGATATATGCAAAGTATATAGGTTCTTGAGCACTGTCATTGCATTTAAGAATTTACTTTTCAAAATCACCACACTGAAGAATTTCATACTGGCCAAAGATGATGTTGTTGTTATCATTATTATTCGGACTCCAAGTCGAAAGGCTGGAAGCCCTGTTGTAATTGGCTGATATATTTTTTTTTTATTAGGGCTCCAAGCAAAAAGGCTGTAGAGCCCTATTGTAATCATTTGATTTGTTATTATTAGGGCTCCAAGCAGAAAGGCTGTAGAGCCCTATTGTAATCGTTCGATTTGTTATTATTAGGGCTCAAAGCCGAAAGGCTGAAGTGGCTATTGTAATCGGCCGATTTATTAGGGCTCTATGCCCGAAAGGCAAGAGACCTATTGTAATTGTTCGATTTATTATTATTATTCTTTATTATTATTATTCTTTATTATTAGGGTTCTATGCCTGAAAGGCAAGAGCCCTATTGTAATCGTTCGATTGATTATTATTCTTTATTAGTGCTCTATGCCTGAAAGGCAAGAGACCTATTGTAATCGTTCAATTTATTATTATTATTCTTTATTATTAGGGTTCTATGCCTGAAAGGCAAGAGCCCTATTGTAATAGTTTGATTGATTATTATTCTTTATTAGTGCTCTATGCCTGAAAGGCAAGAGACCTATTGTAATCGTTCAATTTATTATTATTATTATTCTTTATTTTTATTATCATTATTATTATTATTATTATTATTATTATTAGGGCTCTATGCCTGAAAGGCAAGAGACCTATTGTAATCGGCCGATTTATTAGGGCTCTATGCCCGAAAGGCAAGAGACCTATTGTAATTGTTCGATTTATTATTATTATTCTTTATTATTAGGGTTCTATGCCTGAAAGGCAAGAGCCCTATTGTAATCGTTCGATTGATTATTATTCTTTATTAGTGCTCTATGCCTGAAAGGCAAGAGACCTATTGTAATCGTTCAATTTATTATTATTATTCTTTATTATTAGGGTTCTATGCCTGAAAGGCAAGAGCCCTATTGTAATAGTTTGATTGATTATTATTCTTTATTAGTGCTCTATGCCTGAAAGGCAAGAGACCTATTGTAATCGTTCAATTTATTATTATTATTATTCTTTATTTTTATTATTATTATTATTATTATTATTATTAGGGCTCTATGCCTGAAAGGCAAGAGACCTATTGTAATCGTTCGATTTATTAGGGCTCTATGCCTGAAAGGCAAGAGACCTTTTGTAATTTATTATTATTATTCTTTATAATTAGGGCTCTTGAGTTCAATCGTAACTCAAGAAAATCTAAAGGCTCTAGGCTCAAGGACTAAGGGCAGGTAACTCAAAACAACTTTAAAAATCGCAATTTCAACAGCTCATATCTCCATCACGAAAGCTCCAATGACTTCCAAACTTCTTGTACAGGTGCGGAATCAGACGCCCAACAATTTCTACTCAAATCCAATGTAGCGAAATTGCTTCGTTTGGCCGCTATATTGGATTAGAGGTTTTTGCACTGTTTTTTACCATTTTCCTCAGTACTTGTCTCCCAAAATGTGCTCAGCTAAAACTACCAGCTCAAAAGCTTCCAAACTTTCCATACTTTGTCTCCAAGTACCATACTACCAAGTTTGCAGAAAAAATGCTGAGATATGTCTTCCATGGCCGCCATATTGACTCCAACTTAAGTCAAGTTATTTTCAAACTTTTGACAGGACATCTTTAGCAAGCTCTGGCACTGGAAACTTATCAGGTACAGCACTTGAACAACCTCTGTAGTATCTTGCTTTGGTTGCTGAACAACTTCTCTTCTTGCTCATATGTCAAAAGTCACGTGATGTGGTGGCCATATTGGATTTTGGTAGCCTCTAATAAAATTACTTGACAAACTACGTACCTGCTAAAGTTCTTCATAGAAAGTACTACAAATTACCACAATGCACCAGCATCAGACGCTGAACATTTCATGTTCTAAGCTGTTTGTCAAAAGTTGCGTCATTTGGCGTCCATATTGGATTGAAGACCGTCAGAATGCAAAAAGTGATAAAAACGGCACAAAACAGCAAATATCTCAGCCAATATTGGTCCAATAGCTACCATATTTTGCATGTGACACCGTCATAAGATACCGATCATTTTCGATCGGGCCGTCAAAATGGATATATCGAGCCGTTTGGCCGCCATTTTGGATTTAAGTTTTTTTCCTTCAGGTTGCCATGGAAACCAAACTTGACAACGGAATGAATTGATATTCACAGCACTATTAGATACAGACCATGGGAAGATGTCTGCAAAGTTTCAGCTATGTACGTTACATAGTTCATGAGAATATGACAAAACAAGGTTTTGGTGGACAGACCTGCGGACGGACAGCGGACATACTTTTCGTCAAATTTGACCTATACATATGATAGAACAGGTCGGGGTAAGGCATAAACACCAATCGCTTCCACCATACATGCAATTACAGTCGTGTCATAGCTCGCCAAAAAAAGTACATTTAAATTACCTTGAACCCTCGACCTTGGTGACCTTGAATTTTTGAAAATGTTTTTAGTCCTGCTACCCGATACCTGGGTCAAAACTGCCAAAATCGCAAAAATAACGATTTGCCTACAAGGCAAGAGCCCTATTGTAATTGTTCAATTTATTATTATTAGGGCTCTATGCCTGAAAGGCAAGAGACCTATTGTAATCGTTCGATTTATTATTATTCTTTTTTAGGGCTCTATGCCTGAAAGGCAAGAGACCTATTGTAATCGTTCGATTTATTAGGGCTCTATGCCTGAAAGGCAAGAGACCTATTGCAATCGTTCGATTTATTAGGGCTCCAAGCAGAAAGGCTGGAAGCCCTATTGTAATCGTTCGATGTATTAGGGCTCCAAGCCGAAAGGCTGTAGAGCCCTATTGTAATCGTTCGATTTATTAGGGCTCCAAGCCGAAAGGCTGTAGAGCCCTATTGTAATCGTTCGATTTATTATTTATTATTATTTATTATTCCGCCGTTTTTTGTTCCAGAGATAGCAGTTTAACCACTGGCTCGATTTTGTTCAAATTTTGTGTGTGTGTGCAGGGTGTTAGGTACCAAATACCACAAAAATTCCAAGGCCGTAGGCCCTATGGCCAAGGGCAGATAACTGAAAAACAAGTATTTTTTGAAGATATATTTCGCCTTATTGCTCCGCAACCGCTTGTCCTATTACTTTCAAACTTTACACATGTCTGCTGCTTCGGGTGCTTAACATTTTCTGTTCTTTGACCTTGGTCATTGGTCACGTGCTTTGGCAGCCATATTGGATTCAAAGTTTTTACGGGGTTTTGGGGGTACCTGTCTTCAAATCCTATCTCCTCTGAATCCAATGCATGAAATGCATCCAAACTTTCTGAGTACTGTCTCCATACATATCACATCAAACTCTGTTAGCCGATTTTGGATATCTTTTTTAGTTGCTGCCATATTGGATTCAAGGTTTTCACAGGGTTTTTTGGGTACCTGTCTTCAAATACTATCTCCTCTGAATCCACTGCATGAAATGCTTTCAAACTTTCTGAGAATTGTCTCCATACATAACACACCAAACTCTGTTAGCCGTTTTTGGATATCTGTCTTAGTGACGGCTCTGTTTGATTTTGATTTTGATGATTTCTTTCACCGAATTTTTCCTTTATATAAAGATCACATCTTGTAAGGTTCTCCACAGAAACTATTGAAAGTTTACATGAAGTTAGTGTGCCATATGTACCTCATCTTTTGTTCTTGGTTGCATGCTAAAAGTAACACCGCCTGGTGGTAATATTGACAAAATACCGAAAACATCGCTCAGAAAACTCAGGATTATTTCCCTTTGACCGTCAAGTGTCTTTTGCAGTATGTATACTACCCTTGAAGATGATGGTTAGAATTGGTCTTCAGCAACCCATGCTTGTCTCAAGAGGCGACTATCGGGATTCGAACATTGTCTGGGTGGTAAATGGGTTTAGAACACTCTGGTTAACTCTGACACACAC